GGGATGGCCTACTATACACCCAGGCTCCACAGAATAGCCTTTTATTGCTAGGCTACAAGCCTGTACAACGTGGAACTACAAAAATGACAGGAGGTTAAATTAAGCACAAGAGAAAACAATGCAATTAAGAGACACGGCAAACATGAGTTGTAGGAGGCTGCCAGCATAACACAGCATACTGTGTTACAGTAAACTTTTGTTTTACAGATGGAGAGAGTACACTCTAAAATAATGCTAAAAAGTATAGTATGGTAAACAATATATAGACCAATAACATAGTCGTTTATCGTCATTATCAGTCAAGTATTAGGTGCTGTACATATGCGCTATACTTCCACATGACACACAGCACAGGTTTGCGTACACCAGCATCACCACAAACACGTGAATAATGTGTTGTGCTACAATTTTAAGTAACACACTAGGCAACAGAAAATTGGCAGCTCCGTTATAATCTTATGGGACCACTGTCACATATGTGGTCCATCGTTGACCAACATGTTACGTGGCACGTGACTATGCCAACTTCAGATGTGAGATTTAGCTATGTGCATTCTAAGCACTTATATTTTCTTTCTTTCTTTTCTTTGGTCAGGGCACACACCTAGGTTTCAAGTTTGATCCCTGGTCATACTGGATGTTTCTCTCCCTCTCTCCCTTCCTCTCTCTCTAAAATCAATAAACATATCCTTGGGTGGGGATAAAAAAAACAGCGGAGACAGGAAAGTCACTCTGACCTTCCTCCCCTTGCCCTAGCCTAGAAACAAGCACTAAGGCTCGCCGTGAAAGGGCCGCTGGCTGAACAGGAGGAAGGGGACACCTGTAGCTGCAGAAACGGGGAATTCAGGCCTGAGAAGCAAGTCATGTTCTTTCTCTGCCGCTTAGCACCCCCAGGACAACTCCCTTGTCTTGTCAATTCTTTTTTCGTTGTTATTTGTTTGTGGGGGGTTTTTGTGTGTGTGTGTTTTTAAATGTCTTTATTGGTTTCAGAGAGAAGAAGGGAGAGGGAGAGAGAGAGAGAGAGAGAGAGAGGAACATCAATGATGAGAGTCACTGATCGGCTGCCTCCTGCATATCCCCTGACCGGGGACGGAGCCTGCAACCCGGGCATGTGTCCTAACTGGGAATCGAACCCCCATTTCCTGGATCCTAGGTCGATGCTCAACCGCTGAGCCAAGCTGGCCGGGCATCTTGTCAATTCTTTACAAATTTCGTGTTTCTTTGTCTAAAAGGTAGAAAAGCTTCCTGCCCCGGTCACTTCTTTGGGTCTTTCATTGTCTTGTGAAGGCTCCCGTGTACATGTAAAAATTCCATAAAATTTATGTGCTTTTCTCCTGTTAATCTGTCTTTGTCAGTTTAATTTTCAGACCCAGCCAGTGACCCTAAGAGGATTGAGGAAAATTTCCTTTTCCTACATGCTTAATACCAACCTGTGATTTTTAATCAGGGGTGACCCCCTCTCCCCCCCGGACATCTGGTAATGCCTGGTGACATTTTGGTTGTCACAACTCAAAGTGGGGGGTGGGAGGGAGAACAGCTATTGGCCCCTAGTAGGTAGAGACCAAGGATGCCTCCCTCTACCTCCTACCCTCCCATTCCCACCAATAAGGAATTATTCGGCCCAACAGCGTAAAGGCTGAGAAATTTGATTCATATTGTCACCTTGTTCTTAAGGAGACTTGAGCAGTTTACGAATTTACATATATAGTAACAAGATACAAAATGAAAAATGAAGAAATCAGGCACAGGGAAAACAAAGCCTGGAGCAAATTCAGTGGGTGCCTGAAGTTCCCCTTACAGTGCTAGACGTCGGCTGCAAATTAGACTCCAAACTGCCTATCAGGGAAAGCAAAGAGGGGACACAAACGTTTAGGAGATTGAGCATGTCCATAAAATAAAAATAGATTGAGACACAGAGAAACTTCTCATCAAGGCCCTCAAAAAAGAGATGACATGTGACATGGAAAGCCAAGGCCTTGAACAATGTCTCTACAGTAAACAGAACAGTGACTGTCCTGAGCCTGTTTCCTACTGTGGGGTTCAAGCCCAGGCAGGAGTAGAATCACCGAAAGAAATCTCTGAGACGCTGAGATGATCCCATCTAAGTACCACCTCTCTGACAATCTGGGAGGATTCAAGATGAAAAATCAGAGTATTTAGGTTACTCAGAAAAACACAGGGATGCATGTTCTCGGACAATCCTCCGAGATTAATAATATTTTCCGAATAATATTTTCACCAGCTGGAGTTTGATAAGAATTGGACAGCAGTGAGGCTGAATTAGAAGTCTTTGGCAAGAACCTGAGTCCAGATTTCCAACTTGGGCTGTTTATTATACATAAGAACAGGTATGCAGAAGAAAGGGGACACAGGGCCAATGCATTGTTATAAAAATGAAAAGACGCAACCAGGGCAACGTGGCTGAACAGAAGGCCATCCTAGTAGCATGGAGGCGAGTGAATTAATGGCTGTCCTAATTCACCATGGAGATAAGCTAAAGGCATACCTGCAGGAAAGTCCCTGTTTTCCTCAGAAGCCAGTTCTAAAACTGCCTTAGCAGGTTACTCGGTGCGGAAATTTAGGAAAAAAGAATTAGCCAACACAGGCTACAATTGATATTAAATGATCCATTTAAAACAAGCAGATAGTGTTTTGTTAAGCAGTCCATTTTGTGCAGGCACTTACGAATTACATGCGACTGATTAAAGTCCCGAGGTTCCAGACCACAGAGCCTGGAGAACTTTTATCTCTATTGTTGACAAAACACACCCATTGTGACAACGAAAGAATCCGGTGAAACGCCGTGGAGTCTAATTTTCAGGACTGTAAGTTTCTGGCTAGCAGAGGCAAAAGAATTGCGATGTGGAACTTTAGATTATGTAATGAATTCACCTTTTAAAAATTCCAGCCATTTGGTTCCATTCAGATTCGGACCTATTGGTCTGGTTGGAGGGGATTAGTGGCCTTGGGAATAATATTTCTGATGCTTCCCCTGAAGATTTCATGGCACAGCAAGGACTGAGAATCACTGTATTGAAGGAAGTCTATCCAAAATGATGATTTGAATATTGACGTAGTGAGCTTAAGTCTTTTACACAATAGTTTCCCCCACCACTTAAATTTTCACCCCAAACAGACATACTTTAAAAAATTTAGTCAAAATAACAATCACAAAAATATCAAAAGAAAAAATCTGTAGTAAATCCACCATACATACCAAACCGCTATTGACATTTGTGATGCATATGTCCTTCCATTTAGTCTAATAAAAAAATATTTTGTGCCCGGGACCATGTTTTCATGAGGATACTCCCAAATGCAGCAGTAAAACCGTTTCTCCTACAGCACAGTGAAGGCTGCTTTTCTTGCTGTTTGTTATAGTGGGGGAGCAAGTATTCATCTTTTTAAAAAAGAATTGGTATCCAATCATTGTGCTTCAGCTCAGAATTATTATCTGATTAGCGGAGACCCCTACCATGACTCCTGATTGGTATAGAGGAGCAGAAAATGTCTTTCTTTCTGAGGTTTAATTCGCGTTCTCCTAGTTCATACTACACTTTGTTTCTGTCTGCAGAATTAAAGGTTGAAACAGTATTGGGTGAGTGAATGAATATTTTTAGTTACCTCAATTTGTATGTAGATATCCTGAAAAAACTCAAAGTCAGCTTCCTCACTTAGGCAATTATTTATTTCCCCAGACTCAAGTCTTGTGTCTGTTCTGTTTCTCTCTTTACATCTTTCTTGGAACTCTGTTCCCAATAGGAGCGAGCAGAGAGGAACCCCAAAAAGTATCACCAACCCCTGAACTGCAGAGGGCTTGACTCTCCCCGTGCTCAGCGTATCAGTCTAATGGACAGTACAGCAGTCTTGTAGATGTCTCAGATGTAATACCTTGGCTACATGAACCAGAAGACCTATGAAGTACAGCACTGTATTTTAAATCCTGCTGTAACTCCAATTTGAATGAGAATTACCTGTCTTTTTAATTATACGGGTTGACCAGCACTTACCTGGTGATTCAATACTGCTAATGGCTGCATCCACTTTGGTACAAACATCTCAAGGGGCTTTTATTTTTATTTCTTTTGGTAAGCAGTCAGGTTTGTGAAATGATTTTCAAGTTTGTTTTATTGTGTGTGGGAAGAGTCTCCTTTATCCCCACCCCCCAAAATTGTACTGATGATGGAAGTAAAGAGGGTTAAGTGCTGGTCCTTAACCATAAAATCAATGATCAAAACTTCCAGAATGTTGAATTTGGGTGGTGTCTGTAATCTATAACTTGAACAAGTCCCATCCAATTTTTATAAGAAGATAACAGTCATTTGTGAGTGCTCTGGTTGGTATAGATGGGTCTCAAAACATCATTGAAAATATAATTATCTGTTGGACATAAAACACTTAAATATGGCAAATCAGGGAAGATAACGTGTGGCCAGATCATGATGATTTCAAAAAATTGTTTTTGTTATATAAAAACAGACATTTAGAATTAACTTCTGACAATAACACAATAATAAACCTTAAAATGACAAACAGAAATCATGCGCCTGCCCCAGCAAAACTAATTCCAACAGCAAATCTAGAAACTCATGACAAAATAAGAGAGAAACTTCCCAGAAGGAATTCAGAATATTCTGTTTAAACACTCCAGTCTTAATGGTGATATAATGATTTCTTCGTTAGTGATAAAGAACACTTTTTTCCTTCTTAAAAAATGGATCTTCCAGTGACACATTTTAAAGAAAAAAGTCATTGTATTCACAGATTTAAGAATCACTACTGCCAAATTGAATTTAAAAGACAATTGCATGTTACAGAAATGTGGGTTTTTAAAAGATTACCCTAGATTAACACCTACTATTTAATTCTGCCTTGGCTTATATTATTTACATGGTAAGATTATTTTCTTAATATAATTTTTTTCTTTTGAAAGAGGATAGGAGAGAAAGACAAAAGTTTTGCAAATTGGAAAAAGCAGTCTGTATTGCAAAAATACTTACCACACAAAGGTTAGCTGCAGAAAACAACAGCCAGGTCAGCCACTGGGAGGCTCAGGAACACTGAACTAACTGCCTGGTGGCTTAGCCTCGGGTTTTAATCACCAAGGGTGGGGTTTGGGGTGGGGAAAGTTGGGAGGTGGGACTGGAGGAAAATAATCTTGCTACAGTTGTCCTTACTGCCTAAGGGGGGGGGGGGCAATACTTTTGTACTTAAGAATGTGGACACTGCATTTCATCTCACTGCATTTATTTTATGTGACATTTGGCTGATAACATTGCTCCCAAAGACAGCAAGATTATTGAGGATTGGGTGAAAATAAATTTTATGAAGGTCCAGCCTTGTATATTTAGTTAGGTTTTCTATAATTCATTTATTTCCTAAGGTATTTAAGGTTCTTGAAACATGTTTTTGGTTTTTGTTTTGTTTTGTTAATCTTCACCCAAGGATATTTTTTCCATTGATTTTTAGAAAGAGTG